AGAGTCAAACCCCACGGCAAACATTTACAATTCGAGTACTCTGACGTTTCGCGAAAGCCCACGTGTGACCCTGCCTGGAACTCTCCTAACATCTAAATGCCCCCCACCCCCCATCCCACTCCCCTTTCTCGAAAAAAAATACAACATTACAGGTGCGTTAGAAAAATATGTTTTTACGTTCCGGTAATATTAAAACATTTTGTATTGTGTATGTTGAACTTCGATCACCACCGTATGTAGCCAACTGTGCCAATCGGAGGTGGAGTGTTGAGTCTGTGGGCAGTGTTGAGTCTATGGGCAGTGCTGAGTCTATGGGCAGTGTTGAGTCTATGGGCAGTGTTGAGTCTATGGGCAGTGTTGAGTCTATGGTGCAGTGTTGAGTCTATGGGTAGTGGTAGTATATGGACAGTGTTGAGTCTATGGGTAGTGGTAGTCTATGGGCAGTGTTGAGTCTATGGGCAGTGTAGGGTCTTACGGTAATGGTAGTCTATGTGCAGTGTTGGGTCTATGGGCAGTACTGAGTCTATGGGTAGTGTGGAGTCTATGGGCAGTGTTGAGTCTATGAGCAGTGTTGAGTCTATGGGCAGTGTTGAGTCTATGGGCAGTGCAGAGTCTATGGGCAGTGCAGAGTCGATGGGCAGTGTTGAGTCAATGGGTTGTGATAGTCTATGGGCAGTGTTGAGTCTATGGGCAGTGCTGAGTCTATGGGCAGTGTTGAGTCTATGGGCAGTGTTGAGTCTATGGGCAGTGCTGAGTCTATGGGCAGTGTTGAGTCTATGGGCAGTATTGAGTCTATGGGCAGTGCTGAGCCTATGGGCAGTGTTGAGTCTATGCGTAGTGGTAGTCTATGGGCAGTGTTGAATCTATGGGAAGTGTAGGGTCTATGGGTAGTGGTAGTCTATGTGCAGTGTTGAGTCTATGGGCAGTGTTGAGTCTATGGGCAGTGTTGAGTCTATGGGTAGTGTTGAGTCTATGGGCAGTCTTGAGTCTATGGGTAGTGGTAGTCGATGGGCAGTGTTGAGTCTATGGGCAGTGTTGAGTATATGGGCAGTATTGAGTCTATGGGTAGTGGTAGTCTATGGGCAATGTTGAGTCTATGGGTAGTGGTAGTCAATGGGCAGTGTTGAGTCTATGGGCAGTGTTGAGTCTATAGGTAGTCTATGGGTAGTGGTAGTCTATGGGCAGTGTATGGTCTATGGGTAGTGGTAGTCTATGGGCAGTGTTGAGTCTCTGGGCAGTTCTCAGTCTATGGACAGTGTAGGGTCTTACGGTAATGGTAGTCTATGTGCAGTGTTGGGTCTATGGGCAGTGCTGAGTCTATGGGTAGTGTTGAGTCTATCGGCAGTGTTGAGTCTATGAGCAGTGTTGAGTCTATCGGTAGTGTTGAGTCTATGGGCAGTGTTGAGTCTATGGGCAGTGCAGAGTCTATGGGCAGTGTTGAGTCAATGGGTAGTGGTAGTCTATGGGCAGTGTTGAGTCTATGGGCAGTGCTGAGTCTATGGGCAATGCTGAGTCTATGGGCAGTGTTGAGTCTATGGGCAGTGTTGAGTCTATGGGCAGTGCTGAGTCTATGGGCAGTGTTGAGTCTATGGGCAGTGTTGAGTCTATGGGCAGTGCTGAGTCTATGGGCAGTGTTTAGTCTATGCGTAGTGGTAGTCTATGGGAAGTGTAGGGTCTATGGGTAGTGATAGCCTATGTGCAGTGTTGAGTCTATGGGCAGTGCTGAGTCTATGGGCAGTGTTGAGTCTATGGGCAGTGCTGAGTCTATGGGCAATGCTGAGTCTATGGGCAGTGTTGAGTCTATGGGCAGTGTTGAGTCTATGGGCAGTGCTGAGTCTATGGGCAGTGTTGAGTCTATGGGCAGTGTTGAGTCTATGGGCAGTGCTGAGTCTATGGGCAGTGTTTAGTCTATGCGTAGTGGTAGTCTATGGGAAGTGTAGGGTCTATGGGTAGTGATAGCCTATGTGCAGTGTTGAGTCTATGGGCAGTGCTGAGTCTATGGGCAGTGTTGAGTCTATGGGTAGTGTTGAGTCTATGGGCAGTGTTGAGTCTATGAGCAGTGTTGAGTCTATGGGTAGTGTTGAGTCTATGGGCAGTGTTGAGTCTATGGGTAGTGGTAGTCGATGGGCAGTGTTGAGTCTATGGGCAGTGTTGAGTATATGGGCAGTATTGAGTCTATGGGTAGTGGTAGTCTATGGGCAATGTTGAGTCTATGGGTAGTGGTAGTCAATGGGCAGTGTTGAGTCTATGGGCAGTGTTGAGTCTATAGGTAGTGGGAGTCTATGGGTAGTGGTAGTCTATGGGCAGTGTATGGTCTATGGGTAGTGTTGAGTCTATGGGCAGTGTTGAGTTTCTGGGCAGTGCTGAGTCTATGGGCAGTGTTGAGTCTATGGGCAGTGTTGAGTCTATGGGCAGTGTTGAGTCTATGGGCAGTGCTGAGTCTATGGGCAGTGTTGAGTCTATGGGCAGTGTTGAGTCTATGGGCAGTGCTGAGTCTGTGGGCAGTGTTGAGTCTATGGACAATGTAGGGTCTATGGGTAGTGGTAGTCTATGGGCAGTATGTATGTACTGTATGCATACTCCTTGGTTCTTTCGGTAAAGTCACGTATTTAGAAATAAAATAAATTAAATCACGACGTTTCGGGAGCAACACAAGCGTCCGTCATCAGGTGGGACAACCACAGCAGGAAACAATTGCGGAAGTGGGCGAGAGTGCTGCCGTGACAAGAGGCTGTATAGGTAAGAGAGGGGGGAGGAGCAAGGGGGGAGAGAGAGAGGGGGGGGAGGTGTGGGGTAGGGAAGCGCTGCGAGAGCGCTAGGGTAAGAGTGGATGTGAGGCCGGGGGGCGGGGGGGGGGGAAGTGGGCGGGGCTGGGAGGATGGAGGCTGGGAAAGCTGGAGATGCGGATGTGACGGCAACAACCATAAAGCATAAGAATATGAATTACTGCAGTCACGAAAGCTTTAAATCAAAATTTAACCATAAAGCAGTTAAGGTTTCACCTGGTTAATAACATCCTTCCAAATGAACAAACCCTTGCAGAGTACCTTGGTCTCGGAAAAAAAAAGCAATGTCATGCGAGTCCACAGTGTTATAACAATGGTCAGCCAAGGCAGAGGTATTGGTTCTGCCCTGTTTCAAATCTGCCTTGTGTTCGCGAACACGGTCCGAGACATGTCGTTTCGTTTCCCCAATGTAACTGCCACCGCAGGTACCACTCAGTTTGTAAACTCCAGGAAATTGCATGTCAGGAATGACATCCTTCACAGATGGGATTAGATCACGGATTTTGTGTACTGTATTGAATCGGACCTGGATCTTGTGTCTGTTTAAGATTTCGGAAATCTTTTTGGTAACACCTACTATTTATTATGAACACCTGCTATGTATGGTAACGTGATGGTTTGGCTTCTCAGGGGGTTGTTTCGCCATGGTTGGAGAAACAGCTTCGCGAATAATGCGGTCCGAGTACCCATTCATCTTGAGGGCCTGGTGCACGTGTTCCAATTCACTGGCTAGGTGGTGTTGGTCAGAAATGCAGTGAGCCCTAAGGTGCAGTGTTTTGATGAGGGAATTCTTCTGTGCCGGATGGTGGTGGGAATCAGGTTTCAGATAGGAATCTGTTTGGGTGGCTTTCTTGTAGACAGTGTCCGAACGAACAAAACATCCCGGAATGGTAGCTTACCATCCTTCTCCACTTCCATGGTGAATTTGATGGATGGGTGTATGGAATTGATGTGGTTGAGAAATTGGTTCAGTGCTGTCAGGCCATGTGGCCAAATGACGAAAGTGTCATCTACATATCTCTTCCACAAGGAAGGACGTAGGGTGGATGTCTGGATGGCATATGTTTCAAATTTATCCATGAAAACATTCGCTATCACTGGTGATAAGGAAGAACCCATTGGGGTACCTTCATTTTGTTTGTAGAAGGTACCATTCCAGGTGAAGTAAGTGTTGGTATGGTAGTGCCTAACCAGAGTAGGAACATCAGGGTTAAGTCCATGTTAGACTAAGTCTTCAATTATTGTTAAGGTGTCAGGTACAGGAACCTTGGTGAACAGAGAGACTACATCAAAGCTGACGAGTAAATCATCTTGGGAGAGTGAAATGCCCTTGATTAGAGAGACCAAGTGAGCTGAGTTATGTACTGCTGAGGTAGTCTTGCCCGTGAATTGAAGCAAAGTATCAGACAGAAAACGGGCTAGTTTGTAGGTGGGTGAGTTGATAGTGGAAACGATGGGCCGAAGTGGAGTACCTTCTTTACGGATTTTTGGAAGACCAAAGAATCTGGGTGGTCTAGTAGCAGAAGGTTTTAGGGAGGGCCGTTTGAATGGCTCGATTAGAAAAGTCGAACTGGTAATGATGTTGTTGGTTTTTGTAGCCAGGCGGTTGGTAGGATCTGCCATCATTGAGAAAGTCCTGGATTTTGTTGTATGTGGTTTTATCCATGATGACAGCGGCATTGCCCTTGTCGGCTGAGAGGATAACTATTCATCTCTCGAGTTCAGAGCGCTCGTCTTTGCTGATATATGTTGAACTTATTTCACCACCGCACGTAGGCAACCGTGCTAATCGGAGGTGCGTATTCCTGGTATTGAGAGAGATAAGCGAATGCGTTTTGTCACCAGGGGCTTTCGCGGGTGGTGGGGAGGGGGGGGTCTGAGAGGGAGGGAGGGAGGGGGGATCCGCAGAAATGTTTGCATCGGTGGGTGCTGCTCCGTTGCAGCCAATAAAAGTTTGAGAAACATCTGCTCGAACTCTATCACAACCACCGCCACCACCACCACAACGCATGCACGAATTCCTCTCGGCAGCAGCAGCAGCGGCGGCGGTGGCAGAAGATGACAACAACATCGCGGTCTCTCCGGAACGCTCACTCATTACGGGCCGTGCCTCGTACACTCACAGTGCCATTCAACGGCAGCGTAAGCCAGGGCGCTATTACTGGAGGCAGTCGGCCTCGCCGCGTCTGGCGAGACAGCGAGAGAGAGAGAGAGAGACGGCGAGAACGCTTCACGAATTTGCGAGTCATCCCTGCGCAGGGGGCATGCTTAATCTTCTCCGTATCGTTCCAATGTTAGTATGTGTACTGCCTGAGAGACAGAGAGACGGAGACGGAGACAGAGAGAGAGACGGAGACGAGAGAGACTGAAAGATAGTCGATGTTAGGACAGCTCCGTAGCTCTTTAGCTTCGGCCAGGCTGATGTAGCGAGGCGTCTTCCGTGGAGCAGAGCTGTTATTAAATTGGTTTTTCATTTCTCTCTCTCTGTGTCTCTCTCACATTCCATTTCCCCTGCTACCTCCGCCCCCCTCCTCCTACCCCCTCGTTCATCCCCCAACCAGCCCACCTCGGTGTGCTATCGTCACGGCTGGCCGAGGCGAGGCAGCTGATAACCTATTCCTGACCCCGGTGCCTCCTCAATTTTTGTATTATAAATGAAACAGTGTTTGCTATTTGAAATGGCTAACCCTAGCCCTAACCACCACATCCACCACCATCCATCACCACCATCCACCACCATTCAAGAACACTATCCACTACTATCCACCAATACCATCCCACCACCACCATCCACTGCTGTCCACCAATACCATCCACCACCACCATCCACCACCATCATTCTCCACCACCACCATCATTCTCCACCAAACGGCAACATTGGCCCAGCAGAGAGAGGTTCCACCACAATCAACCTCGCAACCACATGCGACTGTTGACTCGAGTTGAAGTCATAACTGACCAACAACTTACATTGTCATCAAGGACAAAGGTCCCCCGTATAGCCTCAACAGACTGACGGGGCAAGTGCTGTTAGCGAGTAGCACCTATACCACGTCCGGCCGCCTTTGTCTCCCCAGTGACGATGTTTACACACCGCGCCAGGGTTACTCATTTGAGGCTGAGTCGACCTCGTCATCGCACACACGCATGCGCTCGCAACCCTGTTACAGCCGTCACACGGTCACCGACATACGTCTGAAATACATCTTCCCGGCGTTGACTCCCCCTGGCGTACGTGAGACTGTGATGAATAGATAATGAGAGATTACCGACTTGTCCAGGAAAGGAACACTCCGCCGTAGGGCTATTTGTCACGAAGTTGCTGCATATGCTTTTTTTTTTAAAGATGTTTACAGCGTATTAATAACGAGTGATGAAACCGGAGAAACCCCGGCAAAATCCATACACCGCGGGCGAAGGGGAGCGGCGGGGTGGGATGGGGGATGGGGGGAACGCTCTGTTCCCCGTACAGATGGAGCGAGATGGCGATCAGTCCGCTTGCTGCACTGCCCTCAGCCTGGCGATCCGGGGTGTTACGGGCACCTCCTCTGATGCCCTCCCACGGGGGAAGAAGTGAGCTCCACGGCCCATCCGTGTGGTGACCCACCAACCCTCGTCGCTGCCTCCACAGTTGCTGGACTCGGGGCAGCCACGGCCACGTGCGGCAGCGTGGCCGTCACTCCCTGGCTCATGCGGGGACCGCCACTCTTTCTTGTGTGCACTTGTGCAAGGGCATCGGCACTCCGCGTTGATTGTGTTACGTGTCTGCCCTCTGGTGGATAACTCTGGTATAGTTTTTACAACAACAACAACAAATTATATAGGCTTAGCTCTTTCGGTAAAGTCACGTTGAAGGGAAACAATAAAATAAAAAAATAAAAAAATAAAAATTCTCACGACGTTTCGACCATAACACAAACGGTCATCATCAGGTGTGAAAACCAACGGCAAGAAACATTTGAAAGAAGTGGCGGTTTGCATTTATTTATTTTTAAACGGTGTTTGTATTTATTTATGTATTTATTTTTTAAAAAACGTTAGCACCACGGGCAGCGATTTTATTATTTTCTTGTTTCCCTTCAACGTGACTTTACCGAAAGAGCTAAGAATATGAATTACTGCAGTCACGAAAGCTTTAAATCAAAACAACAACAAAGACAAACCCGAACACTTTGTTGCCGAACAAAAAGTTGTTATGATAAGGCGACGTTCCTGGCAATGTACCTTCAGAGTGCAGCAATCACGTCCGATGACGAATTCATGGATGTGCTATGAAGAAGGGTAAATTTTGCCGAATCGTCGCCTATTATATATTCATGTTAAGCGTCCGTTGTTGTTCCTGTCGTGTGTCCGTTTGCACCAATGCTGTGAGCAGCAGCATCATCAAATCATCGGTTTATTTACATCGATTGAAACGTGGTGATAATTTTATTTGTGTTATTTTATTACTTTATTCTCATTCTACGTGACTTTACCGAAAGAACCAAAGAAGAGAAAAAAATCGATTGATTTGTTGATTTTTTTTAAAATGCATATATAGAGTGGTATTTGCGGAGTGAGGTTAGTTGATGTGTGGTGAGTTGATGCGTAGTTAGTGGATGTGTGGTGGTTAGTGGTTGTGTGGTGGTTAGCCGATGTATGGTTAGTGGATATGTGGTGGTTAGTGGATGTGTGGTGGTTAGTGGATATGTGGTTAGTGGATAAGGTGGTGGTTAGTGGATATGTGGTGGTTAGTAGATGTATCGTTAGTGGATGTATGGTTAGTGGATGTGTGGTGGTTAGTGGATGTATGGTTAGTGGATGTGTGGTGGTTAGTGGATGCATCGTGAGTGGATGTATGGTTAGTGGATGTGTGGTGGTTAGTGGATGTATGGTTAGTGGATGTGTGGTGGTTAGTGGATGTATGGTTAGTGGATGTATGGTTAGTGGATGTGTGGTGGTTAGTGGATGCATCGTGAGTGGATGTATGGTTAGTGGATGTGTGGTGGTTAGTGGATGTATGGTTAGTGGATGTGTGGTGGTTAGTGGATGTATGGTTAGTGGATGTATGGTTAGTGGATGTATGGTGGTTAGTGGATGTATGGTTAGTGGATGTATGGTTAGTGGATGTGTGGTGGTTAGTGGATGTATGGTTAGTGGATGTATGGTTAGTGGATGTATGGTGGTTAGTGGATGTGTGGTGGTTAGTGGATGTATGGTGGGTGGTTAGTGGATGTGTGGTGGTTAGCGGGTCCCTACACCATCTGGGGTATACCGACCACCGCCACCATAACACTGGCAGTGGTATTTAATTAACTCGCTTTACTACCCGGCTTCGCCCGGGACTTGGATTCTCGTCTTGGAATAATACACGGCCTACGCGGAGGGTGGGGGGGGGGGATGCGTGACGTCAGCAGGTACAATGCGTGACGCTGCCGCATGCGGGTGACATCACAGATGTGACGTCACCGTTCACTTGCCGTGCAAAATATATCCATTATTGCGCCCCCCCCCCCCCCCAATACAAAAGTCTATTTTTATACTTTTTGCATTGTGTACAGTCTGGAAGCTACCCACATGCCAAATTTCAAGTTTGTTGCATGTTGGGAAGTATGCTCAACATTTCGAACAGACACACATATTCACAAATTTCCCTTTTATATATATAGATATGACCAATACAAAGCCAAAGTTCCCCCGTATAGCCTTTAACAGGCTGTTGGGTCGAGTGCTGTTAGCGAGCACCTATGAAGGCTGCCACGGTACACGAAGGGGGTAGATGGCCAGTACCACGCCCAGCCGCCTTTGTCTCCCTAATTGCGACATATGTTTGTTGAACTTCGTTCGCACCGTACGTAACGAATCGCGCTAATCGGAGGCGCGGGAATCGGAGGTGCGACGTTGAATACACATCGCAGCAGGCACACAGTTGAGGCCGAGTTGACCTAGGCGGAGACCCACCACGACTGATTCAGATAATGTGGCCAACACCACTGCCGAGGCCGCCTTTGTCTCCCTGGTGGCGATGTTTAGCACACCACACTGCTGTACTCGTGTCCAGGCTCCGGTCCGTGTGGAACAGTGTGTTGGACTTCTTTCGCACCCGTATGTAGCCAACCGCGCTAACCGGAGGTGGGCGAGAGGCGATCGGTGTTGGCAGGCGGTAGGCCGTGGGGATCGAACCCACCACCCACCCACCCACCCGGGTTGCAGGCGCTGCCTCGCCCAGTCGCCAGTGGCTGGTCCGGATCGTCAGCGGTCAGCGAAAACAAAAAAGAAGGCACAATATGTTTTTATTTATTTGAACACACACACGCGCGCACACATACATATATATAGGAATTATATAATGCTGTATATAGCCCCGTTTTTAATATCCGTAATTTTGCGTACACAAGTAATCTAGGAGACGTTTTACGACGTAAAAAAAAACATCTAATGCCTGCAACCTACCGAGATCCCATGCATGTGCCGCGTGAGCCATCATAGGCGCTGTCACACGCGAGCAGCTCTTGCCCAAACGGATTGTTGAAGGCTACACGGGGGACTTTTGCCTTTCTCCTCATCAGCATGCAACCCCTGTCTCTTACGTGAGCCGCACTTGCCCCATCAGCCTGTTGAAGGCTACACGGGGGACCTTTGCCTTTGTGTTCCTCGGCACGCCACCCCGGTCTCTTACGCTTGCTGCACTTGCCCCAGCAGCCTATTGAAAGCTTTTGAAGGCTACACGGGGTGCCTTTGCCTTTGTGTTCTTCGGCATGCGAACCCCGGTCTCTTAAACGTGCCCCGAAGCCACGCGCGATTTCTCATCTATAATACACCACGTGACGCCGCTCATCGCGAGACGAGAATCTCCGTTGTTGCTTTTTTTTCCCCGTCCGCCACACTCACCACGCATCTTACAGACTCGACGTCGACAGGCCGACCACCTCCACTCATTCTTTACAACTCTCTCTCTCTCAGTCTATCTCTCTCTCTCTCTCGGTCCTACAATCTCGCCGCTCTCACAATCAGCATATCAGAATCAGAAATGTTTATTTGTTACCGGAAGACTGAGCTGGTGAAGCCATTTTTTTTTTCACAGATGTCCAGCATTTACAGAGATGTCCGGTAAAAGTCTGTAAGATCCAATCCGCAGGGCTCGATCAAATCTCGTTCCTCGATCCCCTCGGCTACAGCTCATGCAAGACACCTAAACTACAGCCTACTCCCTGTCGCATGTTTGTTTGGCCCACAGAGTTGTCGAGGTATTCTTCAGAAGCGAACTGGTCCATCACAAACTATAGGCCAACGAAGTGGCTCATATCACGTGGAAGTCAGGATCTCAGAGGTTTACTGCC